GTAGATGGGATTACAGGCATGTGCCACCATACACAGCTAATTTTGTATTTTTAGTAGAGTTGGGGTTTCTCCATGTTGATCAGGCTGGTCTCCAACTCCTGACCTCAGCTGATCCACCCAATTTGGCCTCCCAAAGTGCTGGGATTACAGGCATGAGCCACTACGCCTGGCCAGTACAATACAATTTTAACTGCAGTCCTCATATGGGACATTAGATCTCTAGAGCTGTTCATCCTGCTAATGCTTTGCACCCTTCCACCTGGATCTTCCCACATCCCCCTACTCTTCACATCACTCCTAGTAACCACTGCTTTATTCTATGTGTATATTTGAATTTTTTGTTTTGAATTCCACATATAAGTGATCATGTGATATTTTTCTTTCTTTCTTTGGCTTATTTCACCTAGGATCTGCTTTTTTATTTTTATTTATTTATTTATTTATTTATTTATTTATTTATTTTGAAACAGAGTCTCGCTCTGTCTCCCAGGCTAGAGTGCAGTGGCAAGATCTCACCTCACTGCATCCTCCACCTCCCTGGTTCAAGCAATTCTTCTGCCTCAGCCTCAAGAGTAGCTGGGACCACAGGCGTGAGCCACCACACCCAGCTAATTTTTGTATTACTAGTAGAGACAGGGTTTCACCATGTTGACCAGGCTAGTCTCAAACTCCTGACCTCGTGATCGGCTAGTCTCAGCCTCCCAAAGTGCTGGGATTATAGGTGTGAGCCACAGTGCCCAGCCAAGGTTCTGCTTCTAAATTAAACTTCTTAATACGTTTTTAAACAGAAATTTGATTGCATATCCCATAACCATTATAGAATACTTTCATAGGTAAATATAAAAATTATCAATATAACTGTTCATGTAAAAATCAAAGCAAAACATATTTGTTAAGTGTCATCCTGATCCACGTATTCTTCCATGTTTTTCAGTTTGAGTGCAGTCAATGAAGGTATAACCCGGAAAGTTAGAGTGCAATGTGGCCCACAATTGGTAACTAAATATGAAAATTGGAGTGAATCTAAATATTAGAAAGCAACTGAGCTAGGTTGGATAGTATTGGAATCATTTGGCTGATGATCTGCTGGGTTGGATATTATTGGAATCATTTGGCTGATGATGCTAATCAGTTACCATTTTGTTTTTAAGTGGAAGCCGCATAATCAAATAAGTTTAGTAAAATTCCTTGTGTTTACAGAGATCTAGTCAAAATGATTCTATATTTTCCTATTTAAGCATCCTAGTGGAAGTCATGTTTTGCCTTTCTAATTAAATATTTGCTTACATGTGTGTAATACAGTGTCCCTGAATGAAGAAGAAAACACACTATCATACTTTTACTTCTAATTTTTATAGGCATTTGAGTTCCTGTTTTCTTTATTCCAAAGTCTCCATTTGCTAGGAAAAAAAAAGATGTATTTGTACTATTATGCATCTGTTACTTATATGGTTGGATTATCAAACTCTAAAACTCTTACTACGAATGTGGAAAGAACAACATTGGATTAGATGCAGAATTCTGCTTAAGCCATTTATTAGCAGCATTTTATCTTAGGCATGTTGCTTAACAATCCTTGGTTTCCTCACCTCAAAAATGAGATACGCCAACTGTCTACCTTACAAGGTTGCTGAGAGAAGCAATCAGATATGTTAGGATGGCAGAACCACCAAAGAGTGTCAAAGTTCAGATTTGAGATCCAAAGAACCTCAGTTGGAGCTCTGTTGTTACCACTAACTCTGTAATCTTGGGCAAGTAACTTCTAAGCCTTAGTTTCCTTATCTGCCAAATAGGGGTCATGATAAGACCTATCTCACACATTACTGAGAGGATTAAATGACACTATAAAGTGCTGAGTATGTATGATAATGGCTAAAGGTGATGAGCACTTCCTGTGTTCCAACTACCTGATCACATATATTGAATGTGTTCTCTAGGCTGGAAAGCCATGTAGAGGGAGAAGCTCAATTCATGTGCTTCTCCATTGCCAGCCTTTGCTCCCATATGGCCTTATTTCCAGAGCCCACAGACTTGCCATATGGAGAGATCTTAGCCAGGATACTCACTTTGAGAGACAAGGAAGAGGCCCATTTATAGCATCTACTGCTCCAGAGAGGAAGGCTCCTAGGTGAGGCATTATGCCTGGAACAGGATCTCTAGTCCAAGCATTGGATTTGGTTGGGTCTCAGAGGAAGCAGACCTGTTATCTTGCATTCTTGATGCATTCCTGGTGGACTTTATCACAAGGGTCTGGGACTCTGGGAAAAGGAAAGGACAGCCAGAAGGAACGAGCTTTCTCTCCCTCAAATCAAACTCCACCTTTTGATTGCCACTGCCTTCAACTAACAACGAAATTACCTTTTTTTGTTGTTGTCGTAACTATTTTTATGATTGTCAGTATAACTGCCATTATTGTTAATACCTAAATGTACAGTGAATGACTAAGTTCATTGACTTGTCTCAATAGTCTCAACAATCATGTGAGGAAGATTCTTTATTTATTTATTTATTTTGTGAGATAGGGTCTTGCTCTCGCTCTGTCATCCAAGCTGGAGTGCAGTGACAAGATAAGTTCACTGCAGTCTCACCTTCTAGGACTCAAGTGACCCTCCTACTTCAGCCTCCTGAGTAGCTGGGATCACAGACTTGCCACAGTGCCTGGCTAATTTTTAATTTTTTGTGGAGACTGGGGTCTTACTATGTTGCTCAGGCTGGTTTTGAACTCCTGAGCTCAAGCACTCCTCATGCCTCAGCCTCCCAAAGTGCTGTGATTACAGGTGTGAGCCACTGCAGAAGCCACCAGCCTCAGGATGATTATATTATTATCCTTTTTTACAAATTAATAAAGTGAGGATTAATTGGAGAGGATAAAATACTTGCTAAAGTTAGCAAGTGGTATTGCTGAGACTCAAACTTGGAACTGTCTAGCTCTGAGCTCCTATTTCCAATTACTATGCTACTCTCCAATTAATTACTGACAACTAGAGTTCAAACTCAACAAGGCGCTTGAATTTAAAATCCATGCATTACTTTTGCTTATACACACACAGCACCCAAGCCAGTGAAAATCAGGAAACAGACAATTAGCAAATGCCGTTTGGGTATTTGTCAACTCTCACCAAGATCTAGGAGAAGTCGTCTCTTTTAAAGATGATGAGAAAGATGCTAATCAAATTAATACTTAGTTTAGTCATCCTGATTCTAATGACTTGGCAAACTAAGATTTCTAAACAATAGAAACATCTTACACCCTTTTTTTTTTTTCTAAGGGAAAGCCGTTGTTATTTGCACTTTATTTTAGAGCCATTGGTTTCTCTGTGGCTCTAGAACTTAGATGGCCTCAGGACCTCAGAGGATTGAGGATAGAGAAAAGGTTTAGGTTGGGTGAAGGGAGAACCTGTATTGGTCAGGCAGCCTCATCTCTGTTCTGTTCCTCCCATTCCCAGGAAAGCTGCCCTCTCCTTCCCTCACCCCTCGACTGCCTTCCTTGAAGCAAGACAGCAGCAGTACATGGGCAGTTTACGCAGCACTTCCAGGGTCTTTCCAATAAAAATGAGTTTCTGCTCAACTTATCCTATCTCTTTTGAAAACTGAAAAAATAATAATGATTTGGGGCGAAAGTCAATGTGCTAAAACACCAATAAAAAAATCTCATGTTGTTGAACAGAAAGTAAACTTTAACCTTCAGAAAATTTTTGGTTTTCCTGTATGATATGTCTTATTGTTTTAAGACACATTCTCACATGGTTTTTCCATATTACAGAGAAGGGTTTTCTTAAGCTTATTGTAGTTTATTATAATTAGTTCCTTAAATTAATAGATGAAGTTGAGTATAGAATTTTAGCTAGAGTCTTTAAAATATTTATCAGCAAAAACTATAGGATTATAAAAGAGCTCATTTAAATGTTTCATGTTAATTACATAGCAATTATAAATGCAGATTGCAAGAAACGCCTTGATTGGATTTGTTCTATTTTATTCTGTTGATGTAGCCTTAATTGCACATGATAAGAAAATACTTTTAGTCTGAAAGCGTGCCAGACTGCCATGACCACTCTAACAACCTGCTTCAGTGAATTATCAAACAAATGTCATGTCAGTGTGTGCCTCATGAGTGGGGAAAAAAAACACTGAACAGTTTCTCCTATTAACTATTCAGTGAAAATGTGAGAAAGATATCTTTTGTACAGTATCTTCAAAAAGGAAACAATCACTCATACATGTTTTAAAAGCCCCTTGTGAATTGTAATTGTATTATAATGAATTGTAAATCTCAGGGTAAACTGCAGTGAGCTCTTCAGCAAGACTGGATTCTAGCAGTCAGGACGTTTCAGCCTTGGGTAATCAATCAAGGAACTGGAAAGAAGTAATTTCAAGGTGGTAACCCAGTACTCCCAACACCATTTATGTATAATTTATCAGAGCAGAGATACACACTCTGATTGCATATCTGCTTGAGGATGTGTACAATCAACAGCTATTTATCTATTGCCGATTTCTAACATAGTACATAGCTTAAACCACTGAGGCAATGGAATCAAAACTATTTGTAACATTAGCTTTAGAAAACCATAATTAGAAAGGTAAATACACTGAATTCAGGAGCCAAATATAAATTCCTTTTGGATAATGTGTGGTTATGGATTACCAAATTATCTATATGGTTAATCTCCTTCATTAGTGTGGGATAATCCAGAACTGGATGTAATTACTTACATGTTGAAAGTGATGATAGTTATTATATAACATCAGTTTCACTAATCCTACCAATATTGTTTGTTCTTTGCCAACAATCTTTTCTATAAAGCCTGTTTTTATGCATGCAATTTTGTTTGCTTCTTGAGTTTGCTGATTTTAAAAAGCACAGATCTAAGCATGGTTATTCATATCTGGGGGGAAAGTCCCTAATAATTCTGACTTGAGGGGAAGTTAATATGGTAATTTACTGTGTTCCAGAGTGCCAAAGATGATCATTCTGGCTTTGCTTCTCTCTTCTGCAGCAACCATCTACTATGGGTTATGCAAGACAAATCATTAAGAAGGAAGGCTGGGGACTCCAGGGCCTCAACAAAGGATTAACTGCAACTTTGGGACGACATGGAGTTTTCAACATGGTCTATTTTGGCTTCTACTACAATGTCAAAAACATGATTCCTGTCAATAAGGTAACTATTTAATAACTTAAAATCCTGAATGAAAAATCCTATCAGTGATGATAGCTCCATTTGTAGAATGTTTATCCTGTCATGCTCTCTGTGCTAGACACCTACATCCATTATCTAATTTGATCCTCATATCTGCATTGAGTGCTGTTATCCCTGTTTCAAATCCAGAAAGGGACGCTTAGAAAAATCAAGGAAATTGCCCAGGATCACATAGTAAATAGTAAAGCCAAGGACTGAACCAGTGTCTCACACCAAAATTGCCCTTCTTGAAGAAGCTATTATCACACCCGAGGGCTTTCCCTTTATTACTAATAAAAATTTCTAGAAACTATATGATTAATTTATTTTGAATGTGAATATCTTTAGGATACTCTAGTGTAACTAAGATTTTTTTCTTTTATTATTATTATATTTTAAGTTCTGAGGTACATGTGCAGATTGTGCAGGATTGTTATATAGGTACACACATACCATGGTGGTTTGCTGCATCCTTCCCCCCGTCATCGACATTAGCTATTTCCCCTGATGTTTTCCCTTCCCAATCCCTCCACCCCCAATATCCTTCCCGTAGCTCCCTCACCCCAAACAGGCCCCGGTGTGTGATGTTCCCTTCCCTGTGTCCATGTGTTCTCATTGTTCGATACCCACTCATGATTGAGAACAAGCGGTGTTTGGTTTTCTGTGCTTGTGTCAGTTTGCTGAGAATGATGGTTTCCAGATTCATCCATGTCCCTGCAAAGAAGATGAACTCATCCTTTTTTGTGACTGAATAGTATTCCATGGTACATATGTGCCACATTTTCTTTAACCAGTCTATCACTGATGGGCATTTGGGTTGGTTCCAAGTCTTTGCGATTGTGAATAGTGCTGCAATAAATATACTTGTGCATGTGTCTTTATGGTAGAATGATTTATAATCCTTTGGGTATATACCCAGTAATGGGATTGCTGGGTCAAATGGTATTTCTATTTCTAGATCCTTAAGGAATTGCCACACTGTCTTCCACAATGGTCAAACTTATTTACACCCCCACCAATGTGTAAAAGCATTCCTATTTCTCCACATCTCCAGCATCTGCTGTCTACAGATTTTTAAATGATTGCCATTGTAACTGGCATGAGATAGTATCTCAATGTGGTTTTGATTTGCATTTCTCTAATGACCAGTGATGGTGAGCTTTTTTTCATATGTTTGTTGGCTGCATAAATGTCTTCTTTTGAAAAGTGTCTGTTCATATGCTTCGCCCACTTTTTGATGGGGTTGTTTATGTTTTTCTTGTAAATTTATTTCAGTTCTTTGTAGATGCTGGATATTAGCCCTTTGTCTGATGAGCAGATTGCAAAGAATTTTTTCCATTCTGTTGGTTGTCAGTTCACTCTAATGATAGTTTCTTTTGCTATGCAGAAGCTCTTAAGTTTAATTAGATCCCATTATTACTTAATTTTTATTTCAGAAGCATGACTTCCTCAAGAAAGTTGAAAGTTTTATATTTTAAATAAGTTTTGAACTCACAAGGAAAAATTGTCAGCCTAAAATTTAAATTTCACCTGGATATTAATTTTTAATCTAGGTTAATTAGGGTAGGTAGTCAAACAATTCTTCTAAGATTATTTGCTTTTGATGCAAAATAATAATGATGATAATTATTGTCATCTTCAATACTATTATTTTGAAATGATAGTGTATAGGCTGGGTGGGCTGGCTTATGCCTGTTATCCCAGCACTTTGAAAGGCAAAGCCAACCAGGGCAACACAATGGGACCTCTCTCTGCAAAAAATTAAAAAATTAACCAGGAGTGGTGTTGTGCACTTACAGTCAAGCTACTCAGGAGGCTGAGGTAGGAGGAACACTTGAGCCCAGGAGTTTGAGGCTACAATGAGCTGTGATTGCATCACTGCACTCCAGCTTGGTGACAGAGTGAGACCCTATTTCTTTCTTCTTTTTTCTCTTTCTTCTTTTTCTTTTTTTTATTGGAAATGGAGTTTCACTCTTGTTGCCCAGGCTGTAGTGCAATGGTACGATCTCCGTTCTCTGCAACCTCCACCTCTTGGGTTCAAGCAATTCTCCTACCTCAGCCTCCTGAGTAGCTGGGATTACAGGCGCATGCCACCATGCCTGGCTACTTTTTGTATTTTTAGTAGAGACGGGGTTTCACCATGTTAGCCAGGCTGGTCTCAAACTCCTGCCTGACCTCAGGCAACCAGCCTGCCTTGGCCTTCCAAAGTGCTGGAATTACAGGTGTGAACCTCTGTACCCGGTTCGCAAGTAAGATCCTATTTCTAAATAATAATCATAATAACTTGTTAATGGTAATTTACAGATGCCAACAGCCTTTTTCAACTTCTTCAATATGAAAGTAACACAGGATGTGCTTTTAAGACATAGTATCACAGAATTTTTCCCTATATCAAATTGGTTGCTTGCAATTAATATTGCAATCCTGGATGTACCAGTTGGGGTAACATTTTTCACGAGCAGGTATTTTCCCTTAGGGGTCCAGTTCTTCGTTTTTCTTAGTAGAAAAGTATCGAAGGACTTTTTTTAAAATCATAAAACTATTTCTAGTATGGCTAACCAGACTTTTCAGCAAAGTTGGTTGTACCTGTCTTTGCCCAGCTATCCGACATATTCTAGGTAAGGCCAGGACTTTTCTCAAATAACAGCTGAATCCACACCATGTGTTCCACATTAACCATCTGTTGGCATTGCTTCACTTCACTAACCAAAGTTGTTAACCAAGTTTCACTGTATTTGGAAATCTCATTTATTGAGTAGAAGCTTATGTTTTTTGGTCTGAAATCTCTGATTGGCCACAGTGTATATAAATCCCTGTAGTGACTGACTCCAGGGACCCTCAGAGCTCTTCTCTTGTCAAATATAGAAATTGAGTGCAATAAACACTTTGATCCTGGGTGACGTGAAGGAGCTCTCAATACATTGAGGTCTTTTTTTTAGCAGGAACCCACTAAATAATTTGTAAGGCCCGGAGCAGAATGAAAATGCAGAGCCCTTTGTTCAAAAATTATTAAGAATTTCAAGACAGCGACAGTACAGCATTAAATCAAGTGTGGGGCTCATCTCTTCTAAATTCAGGCCCCATGCAACAGCACTAGTCACACACCCAGGAAACCAACTCTGTGTTTCAGACCGTAAGACAACTACTCTACTAAAAATACAAAAATTAGCTGGTGTCGTGTCCCATACCTGTGATCTCAGCTACTCAGGAGGCTGAGGCAAGAGAACTGCATGAACTTGGGAGGCAGAGGTTGCAGTGAGCTGACATTGCACCATTACACTCCAGCCTGGGCAACAGAGCAAGACTCCATCTCAAAAAAAAAAGAAAGAAAGAAAGAAAGAAAGAAAGAAAGAAAGAAAGAAAGAAAGAAAGAAAGAAAGAAAGAAAGGGAAAGAAAGAAAAGAAAGAAAGAAAAAGAAAGAAAGAAAGAAAAGGAAAGATAGATTAATCAGATGTCTATATGATCATATGTTACCGAATGCTAAAAAAAAAAATCCACAAGTACAAATTTTATTCTACAATTAATATACTTAAGTTATTAAATGTTCTGAATGGTTTAAACAAAAACAAACAAACAAACAAACAAAAACCTAAGCTGGGACAGTGGCTCAAGCCTGTAATCCCAGCACTTTGGGAGGCTGAGGCAGGAGGACTGCTTGAAGCCAAGAGTTTGAGACATGCCTGGGGAACATAGTGAGACCCTATATCTACCAAAAAAAAAAAAATTAACGTTAGCCAGGATATGATTGTGCACACCTGTAGTCCCAACTACTCTGCAGGGTAAGGCAAGAGGATTGCTTGAAATTAAGAGTTCAAGACCAGCCTGGGCAACATAGTGACTGACCCTGTCTCTGCAAAATTTTAAAAATTAGCCAGACACTGTGGCAAATCCCCATGGTCCCAGCTGCTTGCAAGGCGGAGGTGGAAAGATTGCTTGAGCCTGGAGGGGCAAGATTGCAGTGAACCATTCCCATGGTACTACACTCCAGCCTAGATGACAGGGCAAGATCTTGTTTCAAAAAAAAAAAAAAAATTGGCATGTGTCTGTCTAATTTTTTCTAATGATATTCAGTAAAATGTCAACCAGCATTTTGCCAAATGAATTATCTATTAGATAGCACTTCCCACATCTAGATTATAACTAGCAAATAAGCGATTCATTTATTAATCAGGACCCTGAAAACTATCTTCTAAATCTTTAAATGAAAGATACACTTTGTTCATTATAGTTTTAAAATTAGTTTTTATGTTGTTATAAGTTTTGCCAAGCTGAGAACTTGTGACTAGAATACCTCATTTCCTCACTCCCATTCAAAGTATGCTACAATAGGGAGTTTAGTGAAATATGATTTGTCATTATTTTATTATATTTTCATTATTTACCTAGTTTTTTTTAAACAGCATCTCACTGCAGCCTCCTCCTCCTCCTGGGCTCAAATGATCCTCCCACCTCAGCCTCCTGAGTAGCTGGGACTACAGACATGCGCCACCACAATCAGCTATTTTTTTTATTTTTCTGTAGAAATGGAGATCTCACTTTGTTGCTAAGGCTGGTCTTAAACTCCTGTGCTTCAGTGACACTCCCACCGCAGCCTTCCAAAGTGCTGGGATTATGGGCATGAGCCGCCATGCCTGGATGTCATTATTTTAAAAGTGAAAGTTGAATAAATTCCACTGTAATCCCCTCTATACATTAGTGTTGTACCAGTGAAGAATGCTAATGCATTGCTTTCTATATATTTGACTATTAACAATTTTAAATCACATACCTCCTTTGACAGTGTGAAAATGTGCCATGTGGCTCAGAATTTCATTTCCAAGCTTTAGCCCCCAAGCTAAAAGAACTGATGCCATTGCCAAATGAATTCTCTATGAAATAGCACTTCCCAAGTCTAGATTATACTAGTAAATATAATAGTATGTACTAGTAAATATATACTAGATTATACTAGTAAATAAGTGGTTCATTTATTAATAGGACC